TAATAGGAGAAAGAGTATAGGTTCGGGAACAATCATCAACAACGATGGAACAATCTTGACAGCTGCGCATGTTGTAGTTCATTTTCATGGCAGCAGAGGTTCGTCCAAAGGGAAGGTTTGTCTACATGCCAAGGCAGATCTCTCAAATATATAGTTGTAGCAATCTGTTGGTAGATTTTTGTTACACGTTTCTATGAATGCAAATGTGAGATCATTCTCAAACATATCCCAAGTGTATTGACTTGAAACCGTCTTTCAAGCTAGAATAGTAGGAATGTGGAATTTAAGGTTGAATTATGTTGAAGGTGTTACACGTGTTGCTTGGTCTATTGTTTTTGGATGACACAGCTGTAGTTCACTTAGTTTTGATTGCCTACACAACTGAATGGCAATGATTCCTATTTGCAATACCAAATCATTGCACAATAGGTCATTACATGCATATATATGATGATTTATTACTTAAATATTAAATATAATGCATTTAGTTGTATGCGTCTTGCTGTAGTCTCTTGGCTGACTGACTGGTTCTTGATATTCTTAATATGAATGTGTATATCTCTTGTTTTTGGCTCCATGAGCACATCAGACATGTATCTAATTATGGCTCTGGAGTCTGGACACTCATTTCTGGGTCTAACAACTAATGGTTGATCTTTACATATCAACTACACTACAGATTGAAGTCACTTTGCAAGATGGAAGAACATTTGAGGGGAAAGTGGTAAATGCTGACCAGCATTCAGATATTGCTATTGTGAAAATCAATTCTGAAACCCCACTACCAGAAGCTAAACTTGGTTCGTCAAGTAAGCTACGTCCTGGGGATTGGGTAATAGCCATGGGTTGTCCGCTTTCTCTTCAGAATACTGTCACTGCAGGAATTGTAAGGTGTGATGAAAAAATTCAGGCGACAACAGTTTGTCCCTATCTAAGTGATTAAGCTATTATTTTTGTTTCAAGTTATGTTATTGTACATGATAGATTCTGGAAGCTAAAGCTATGGTTGTTTAGGGCAGTATTCATTTATTTGACTAAGCTTGTGGTGTTTTAAAGTAAGAGATTCTTGATTGTCTTTTGAACTAATGAAATTCATTTCTTATATATTTTTTGCCTAGTTGTGTTGACCGCAAAAGTAGTGACTTGGGATTTAGTGGTTTGCCGAGAGAATACTTACAAACTGATTGTGCAATTAATATGGTATGTCTTCCTCTTTTTTTCTCCCCTTGATTTACCCACCTACCCAGCTAGATTTGCATGTGGAGTAATGACTAAATTTTAGCAAGAATATCTGTTCAGTTTACTTGTATAATTTTTTATGCTTCTGTGGTGTAGGG